GCTTAGTTTGAAATTTTTCGTGGTACTCATTGGATTTCTCGACAGTCAGCTCCCCGTGATCCTGCGGTAGCCAGTGCAAAATAATTAAAAGTACAGAATTCGGACTCCAATCTACTTTTGCTTGCACCACCCATACGCTAAAGTGGTGGTTCATCTCGCTAGTCCGTTCACCCCAACATTCGAAAGTCAACTTTGGCTATCGACCGTGTGTATCGGGTCAGCCTATTTAGGTCGGAAGGTCAAAGTTCAATCCGTGCGCGTTGTCAAAACGGTCCGGTCTCCCCTTCTCATTACGGTAATCAGAGGAGCGCGGCGTTCGGTGCATCATGATTGAAATCATTAACTGACAAGCATTGAGAATGTCTGTATGAAGCCGCTCGTTTTTCCTATTAGTTGCTTGGTTAACTCGCAACCACCAAGCTTAGATAACAGCTAACAAATTCAAGAATCAACAGGTTGCAGCAACTATGATGCAACGAACAAACGTTAGGCGTGTGAACTGAGCAATCCGTCACCGACTCTCAATGAGCGCGATTCCCTGAATTCGCTCCGCTGTTTTGCAGGCAGGCTATGCTGCCAAAGCCTCGGGCTGGTGTCCCCTAAGTCAACACCCTACTTCAGCTTGGGTAACCGGGTAGGATCTCGCCCTCGGAAGACGCCATAGACTCCGATGTGCTGTGTTATGTTTTCTTTTACGGTTTCTGTACCTTCTTTTTGTCCCATGGTTTTTGATGGCTCTATGTCTATTCCTAGACGGTTGCAACTATGACGCTGGATTCCCACAAGAACACCAAACCTAAGCAGAAAGTGTACGTAATTATTTCTGCTGTACCTACTGATTGTCGGTCACTGTATGCTTGGCCAGCTCTCTGCGTACGAACTCTAAGTATTTCTAGACCACACTTCTAGTCAGCACATCTGAGATACTTGCAGTTTTGCAACAGTCAGGCTTTTCAAGCCACTGGGGTCTGGAAGGCATTCACAAGTGCAGATATCTCGCTTAACCTTGGTCATTCTGAACGAAACCCGGTGGGTACACTTAGACGCACTTAGTCAATTTTTGGTAAGTTAGCACCTCACCATTTTAGGACCAATAGTTTGTGAAAACCGAGTGGAAAGTCCCGTTGTGGATATTCCCTCTCTATCTAATCTCTTCAATGACTTAATCCCCTTAGTCATCTAACGACGGAATAGTTAGTCGCTCGAAATTCGAGCTCAACAACAATGAGGAGAAACGTGCTGGCGATGATGATAAATTCCCACATTATGTTGGTTACTTGCTTCGATTACTCTTGTCCATCGAAGACACCACATGAGAGTCGCAAGCTCTTTGTACGTGTGTCAACATTGGCTGTTCGTACCCCTGGTTCAAATAATCTGACGACGGCCCAGCGTAAGCCTACAGCCAAGGATGGGAAATACAATCACCATAGCCCGTCCTAGGCACTTGTTCTGCAAACAAATCACGTGCCCAAACTGTGGTAACGCTGACACAAACTGTCTGCATTGCACATCTGTCAACTAACTAGTGCAGTATCGCCCCTGTAAGATAGAGGCACCCCAAAGTAAGATCAAGGCCAGCCAACAATCATAACTCATTATATTTTGTAATTGTGATCCCATGCTTTGTGTGCGAACAGTTAGCCCATTAGTTTTAATGGGCATATCTTTTAGTGTTTGTTCTAAACTGGGCTGTTGCCCTATGACGAGAATTGACCCATACATTCTACGTAGTACAGTACTGTTTGCAACATCTGCTGAATGTCGCACCAGTCAGCAAAGCGATTGAACCAGGTAATTAAGGGGTGTTTGTTACACTGTGTCTACCGGCGGCACACCGTGCACCATGGTACTGATCTAGTCTCATGTTTTGGTACTCAGGCATTACACGTTCTTTTACGCCTTATCGATATATATATATATATATATATATATATATATATATATAGCACGCGCCTAATAAACATTTGGCAGAGTGCTACAAAACATGCGTAACAATAACAAAAGGGAGGAAAAGTGAGATTCAGGGGAATGGATGCAAGGTTCCATGTGCTGTGTGGGCGCTAGGCTTCCCAATTGCTCAGGCCGAGGAAGAGCGTAAATTAGGGGCCCATCCCAAGTCTTTGGTCTTAAAGCCCTGCCTTGATAGGCACTGGGGCGATTCACAAAGACCATTGCCGCCCAGGTGACTCATTCGCCTTCTTTATCTTTGGAAACAGTCCACAGCGAAGCCGGTGACCAGCAAGCTTGTGCATCCGCCCTCCGTTAGGCACTCACCCCGAGTTACAGGATGAGTGGTCAGTGACCCTATAGCCGGTCACACTGGCTTTGACACAGCGCTGTACGTGCACTTGTGGTATCTAATTGAGAACCAGGTACCCAGCCCAGAACTCCCCAGGCTCTGTGATGCTGCAGCTGATTGCTCGTGACTGCTTATTCATTTCGCTTACAAAGCAGACTAGACATATTCTTAGTTACTTCCACAAGGAAGACATTCCCAATCCGCAACCTGGGGACGCACCCGCTAGCCTAAAGCTCCTCCACGAGACTCTTTATGGTAACCCCGCGTCTTTAAGTTTCGTATGTATGTCTTCTGTGCTGTTTGGTTAAACATTTTCTTATTGTCTAGAAACCGCTGACTCTGACGTTATCATTTGATAATTATAATTAAATGGAAAACTTCTGTACTGGCACGTTAACTGCTTTGGAAGGTGAAGCGGGGGATACCAATACTAGTCACGGCTGATGGATGCATGCGATCAGCAATGGAAGGAGCTGATATCCTAGGGCTTTATTATTCCCAAACTTTCCAGCAGGTAACTAGCCCAAATATTCTCCTGGTTTCTATTAATCCACCGTCGGATTTAGATAACATCACGTTCACTGGGGAAGCTGTCTTGAAGAAGTTGTTATCGTTGCATATCCACAATTCTCCTGGAGTCAACAACACCCGACCAAAGGCTTTGCAGGCGGTAGCTAGTAATCTAGCAATACCACTGGTTGTTTTCTATCAGCGACGTCTGGAAGAGAACCATTTTCCACCTGTATGGAAGCGAGAAGTCATCACTTCTTTCCCTACGGGGAGTAGCCTCACTGACCCTACGAACCACCGTCCAATAACACTACTTCCTGTACTATCCAAAGTGATAGAATCAATCATCGCAGATGCGCTGATGCAGTATCTGGAAAGCCACAACTTAATAGCCTCAGAGCAACATCGCTTTCGTCAAAAGCGTTCATACTAACCTATTAATTGCACTGGACTGAAGCGGTTGATGATGGAACAGGAGTCGATGTCATCTGCCTGGACTTCTCAAGAACGTTTGATCGCTTTGACCATCGAATTCTCCTTTAGAAGTTTCGAAACTACGGCATTGGCAACCCAATGTTGATTTGGATTAGCATTTTTCTACACGAACGACGGCTAGAGGTGAGAGTCCGTGAATCAATATCCGATGCATTCGATGTGGTATATGGTGTACCACAAGGCTCGGTGCGTGGACCTCCTCTATTCTTGGTGTTTAATAATGAGTTGGCGAGATCAATTGCTTCCGATTTCCTATTTTTCGCGAATGATATCAAGATACGGCGTAGGATCAGAGGACCGGACGACCACGAACGGCTTTAGTGCGATGTTAACACAGTGTCGAACTGGTCAGTTCAAAACGCCCTCCAATTAAAACTAGACAAATGTCGCCTTGTGCAATTGTGCCATAGACATAACTACACCTATTTGCTTGGGACAAACGGATTGTAGACCAACTCAAAAGAACGTGACCTAGGTGTGGTCGTACAGAGTGACCTCAACTGTTCAAAACAGGCTGAGGAAGCTGCCAAGAGAGGCAACCAGCACGTCGTCATGCTGGGAAGGGCATTCGGGAGATTTGACACATCAATCTCTCCAATGCTGCACAATTCTTACGTGTGACCGCACGATGAATACGCTATCCAAGCTTGGCAAGTTTGGTTGAAGCGCGACCTAGAGGAGTTAGAGGCACCACAACGAAGAGCAACAAAGAACGGTAATGGCCTGCGCTATCACTCTTACCACCGAAGGCCAAAGTTGCAGAGAATTTTCAGCTGACGCTATCAAAGGCTGCGCGGCAAGCTCAGGTTAGTGTATCCGATGTTGAGTGACGCCTACCACGTACATCGCCATTTGCTGAAACTTAGCCACAACAAGCAGCTCAGGGGTAACTGCTTGCAATTGAAGGAACAATATAGCCGTCTAGTGTGTCGATGTAATTACTTTTCCATTCGGGTTTGCCAACCCTGGAACGCACTCTCAGACTCAACTGTATCCTCCCCTACCTTGGACGTTTTCAAAAAACATTTAGGTTTTACTCTTAGCTCCCAGAATTTTGTTACCTAAACTCCTCCATTGTGGATTACGCCAAGCGAGTTTTTCTAAGAGATTTATGTGTCATATGGTCCCAAGTCAGCGACCATATGTTATTTTTCTCATGCTTTATATCAAAGATCACTGCACCCCAATGTATTTCTGAACGTTTTGGCTTGATTATTTTAATTTTACACCAATGTTGTTTATCAAAGTATTCATTTCGGCAGACGTTTGGTAGATAACCCACATATATTGTGATTTCATTGTATTCACCGCAACCATCCTACTTTTGTTCCTTATTTAGTCTGACTGTAATTTAAAATGTATGCATTTTTTGCCACTTATAAACCGCAATGTTAACACAGCAGCTGTTGTCTCAGAGTAACCGCGTTAACACTCTCAGTGAATGAAGTATATCAGTGTTAGATGGTTGAATGGCGATTCCCTGTGATCCTGTTAACATTGCACGAATACTAAACAGAAAGCATGTGCCGCCCCTCCAGGTGCAGTGCATTTTTGGGGTCTAGATGCAACAGCCGTAAAAGGAGTTCAGGGGAAGAAGATAGTCTCATATTTTTCTCAAACCATCATTTTGGCCACAACCATATTGCTACTCAGTGTTTTTACAATCTGCTTTCCTACATTATTTCCATTTCAGATTGGTGGATTTTTTATCGTTTGGAGCAATGTTGCCCCTTCCAATCACTCTTTGCTCTCATCTAAACTGCTGAACATTTTGCCGCGGGAGACTGGACACTTTCTAACCAATCCGAATGAGCTCCCATCTCTGCTACTATAAAATACTTGGTTTAGATCGAAATGCAGCCGACGAAGACATTCGTAAAGCTTACAGGAAGCTGGCACTGAAATGGCACCCAGACAAGAACCCTGGTGACACTACAAAAGAGGCAGAGAGGAGATTCAAGGAGATCAGTGCCGCCTACGAGGTGTTATCCGATCCAGAAAAACGCGCACACTATGACAAACACAACAGAGAAGGCCTCAATGGGTCTCGTGTAGAACCCAGAGCCTCATCTCGGGGTTCGAACATTCGAAGGCGTAGAACTGTCTACTCAGGTTCAAGTTTTCGAAATGATCTATTTGAAGATGGGGATTTCTTCTTCCCCTACACTGACTTCGGTTTTAAATTCCGGGATCCAGAAGTAGTTTTCCGAGAATTTTTCGCACAGCATATGAACATGATGAATGCGTTCAAAGAACACATAAAGCTGGCTCGAGCGCACGGTCAAATGAGTCCGAAGCGTTCTAGTGAATCAACTTCTCAGCTCGGTGCATACACTAGCCCACTTCGAACTAGTGTGGACCACTCTTTTACATGTAAAATTTCCCCACGACGGTCCGGTGGAAGCCACGCATCCACAACATTCATCAGTTTTGGTTCCTCCAATCGATCGACCGGCGCCGGTCACGTGCGCGGCACCTTTCGTTCTACCTCAAGCCGCTTCGAAAACGGCAAGTGTGTCACCACTCGTCGTACAGTGCAAGATGGGGTGGAGACTATTGAGGTGGAGGAAAATGGCGTTCTCAAGACGAAAACAATTAACGGTCGTCCTGTGGCCATTACAACTGCCTAGTGCTTCGTCTGTGTTTAAATGTTAGTGAGATATTAACTGACATTTGCGGCCCGACAGGTGTTTTAATCACTTACCAGCCCTCGGAGGAGAGGGTGACTGTATAGAACTGAGCTTCCACTGGTGAGTGCGTGAAATTAACTACAGGTAAAACAACAACTTCAGAATGCTCTTTTTAGTTTGTAAACATACTAAAGGGACAAGATCTACTTCCTAAGTGTATTTCCATGCAGAGAACCGGGTACTAGCTGAGGAAAGCGGACCTCAATCTTTGACACCATATGTATTCATGCTCAGCACAATCCTGATCTCTGATTTCCTCTGATAACTCCGGTATCATTTACTTTAATTATATACGTGCTCCTTTCCCCCTTGTCCATACAACGACTATTGTAATCTGGTCTTAACAAGTGGACCGCAGCCCTTCGTGTCACTCGCTGTGGAGGACAGCAGTTGAGAGGTCCACGTTTCCTTTTCTTTACGGAAAGTCCTCACCCATGACTGTCTAACATGTTTGAGTTGTTTTTCTGTTGCACAATTATCACTACTCATGGTGAACGCTGCTTAATGGGCACCAGGGGGAATAGTTTGCGGTTCGCCCAGAACGGAGGTCACCAAACATATTTTCACAGCGGGCCGGATGACTAGCAAAAGTGAGCAGCCCGTGCCGTCCAAACGGAAAAGTGACTAGTGTTGGCCGGATATCGGATTAAATGGTTTGCCTGATCCACATACTAATTATGCACAATGCGTGCAAGCCGAAACGAAAACTAAGAATAAACATAAAAGGCGACAGTCGGTGTCCGCCTTTCTTAGTAGCCTTAGTGACGGATGAAATTAAGGGACTTGAGCAAAAATAAGATGTTAGCAAATATTAGGTAAACACAGGAAAAACAGATGAATAGAGATCATTGCTGGAAAGACGCTTACCCGGAGGCATACGTAAGGTGCATTGGTGTCTTGAGCAATAAAGTTATACCATGACATGCTTACAGCGGACATATATATATATATATATATAATATATGATGGTTAATAGAACATAAATCTGAAACTTAACGACACATGCAACTTGAAAGCCCAACTTATATGGGAAGAGTGAAGGAAAGGACTATGGCCAACAGATGTTTTGTAGACAGCAATGGTATTATGTCAGAAGAGCACCATTGGATACTTGACCACTCATTGCCTGAGCCAGTCTAGCCATTGTCTTGTTCAAACTGAAGAACCGCATCAGGCATCCATGTCTGGGTTTGTTATTCAATTTCTTCCTGCCCTTGTCAAGATATCCACCTGCAGTCCTATGTACTCTTCCAAAGCCCTTGTGTACTACATAATAGTTGGAGACACGGTATCATGCGACGAACGTATGGTGACTACTGTGGGTGGCTCAAGCTCAGTGGAAGAGCTAAATATTCGCCCTTCGTGGGTGCAGAAAGGAAATTCTGTGACTTGACTTGAAATCCCGTGTTGCGATAGCGTTTTTATTGCCGAACACCAGCTGGTGGCGCCTGCATAATGTAGTTGGTTGTCCCATAAAATCCCTGAAATTTTCTCAAAGGCATCGTTGATCAATTAGGACCCACTTTGCTAAGCTCCAATACATCCATGCTTTATGCAGTAGCATCGGATGCATAACGGCATTTCATTCCTACTCACGGTTGATAGTTGACCACCCGCCTGTTGCGATGTTTATTCGCTTCTCGAGTTGGTTACTTCCGTTGCACTAGATCACTGGTCGATCGTTGGGCATAAAGTGGCTCCTCTGGTGCATACTGATCTTTGGCCTAATAGTAGTCACCAAAGTATGACTGCTCACAGCGGCGGGAGACCGATCCGGATGAAGTACGATTATTAAAGCGAGTAACCAATGGTGGTAGTGTCCGTGTTTATCAGAAGACCGAAGCCTCAAACCCTAGCTACCAGGGCATCAAACACATCGATTCACACATAGTCTGCAATGGCCCTGAAATGCACACGAGCCACGCAAATAGGTACAACAATATTGTCGGTGACGCGCCCAATACGGAAGATGCAGTTGTCTGTCCACGAATAAGTTTAATATTTTGATGGCATTATCATCATTTTACTTTTTCAAGCTCACACCGACATTCTTTACCCTATGTTTTCGTTCTCAGTTCCTAAACGTATGCATTCTCCTTCGTTGTGTATAATGCTCACCTGTTACTTTCCTCAGGATTCTCAAAAGACACTACAGAATAGTGGAACGACGCATTTACCAGGTATAAAAAACCAATTGCCTTACAATTCTCGTAAGTAAACATTGAGACCAAACATTGGGTGTACCAAGGAAAACTAACGCATATCGATAGACTCAGTGTGAGTTCCGCGTGCGCACACAATTTAATTGTGCTATCTTATGTCCCAATAAATCATGAATACGTCTAACATTGGAACGGAAATACCAGAGTGCGAAGGAATATTCCGCAGCTAAGATACGGAAATGGCGAGTAAGTTGCTACAACATTTCAACCGGCTACGTTGTGTTGTCAAATTTGAACAGTGGCATCTCAGTAAGGTGCTGTAGCTGAGTATGAATACGTGCCGACATGGGTCGTTAGGATTCTTGAGGATCTGATCCAAAAATATGAGGTCCCTTCACATAGGATGATGTCGAACGAACATTCATTTTGCCTTCAGTCTACATTGGGAAGGAAGATGGAGCAAACCCCTAGTACTTTTAGGTGTCATCGGTTGTGGATCCTCAAGGGCAACAAGGTTATGTTTTTGGCAAGTGGATACACCTGGATGGCGCATTCTGCATGTGCCCCCACGCAAGCTTTGAGCATTTGTGAACAGAGGATAGGATCCAAACAACCAAACACACTCTGTATGAGGCCTTACTTTTGGCTAGTATTTTTACTGCTTCCTGGACCTACTTAAGCATCCGAAGTCGTTACGCACGAGTATCACATAGTCAATCCTTTGGGCAGTGCCCTGCAAAAGGTGTTCTCCTATTCGATATTCGTAGGTGTTCTGGTTGGGTATGCTTATTAGTTGACATTTCACCGAGTTTAACTAGTACGTGTTCCGAGCTGACCACTCGTGAGCCATGCTGAGATCACCTTGTAGGACTATGTATTCGTCTATTCTTTCGATTGCCCGCCAAATCATGAGATTACCCTCAAAGACTAAAAAGTATAAGATGAGCATTCCCTCGTGGTCTTCCATGAACACTAGGAATAGGGGGCTAGGTCGACACCGTGGTAGATCAATGCCGTCACCTAGGACGGCATACAACAGCACGGCAATAGTACTTTCAAGTAGGACTAAAACCATTATAAATTACCGTACCTGTTCCTTCGTGAGTGTGTCGTTGAGCCAGAGTATTTATCGAATGTGTAGATTGACCATGTAGTAGAGCCAAAACCACACGTGCAAATCACATCACGGTTAACCAAGTAATGCCTACGTGGCCCGCACTATCGATCCCCGCTGCACTGACCGCAAGAAGTAAGAGAAAAACATACCGACTGGCAAACAGGTGGATATAAGTAGCATTAAAGAATTAATTGCACTATTCACAAAGATCCACAAAGTAAAGCATTAGTAATAACGAAAATAAAAGTAAATTTTGGTATGTGATAGGAATGATCTGCAACTGATAGTCAAGGACATCGAGTATATGCTCAAACTCTTTCACACTTTGTTAAGATACCACACTTTCAGGTAACACATTATAAAAATCAGCTACTCTGGGTGACAACTGAACGTTGGTCCAAACCCCATCAGATCGTGGCTATTGCAACTTCATCGAATTACCACGGAGAGATTGTAGTAGTGTTGGCTTAAGAAGCCTATCTTCTTTGTTAGTATGCGATAAGTCAGGATCATGTCACTCCGATCTTAGTAGTAATGCGGAGAAAACATTCCGGAATGTGACAGATGCCTTGGTTCTTGTACCATTTTGGAGTAAATCCTAAGGACCCGTTCCACTGCGATCCTATTACGAGCAAAGTAGGTTGGACAAGCTTGGACGCAAAATCCTAGGTGAGATCTAATGAAGGCTGAAAACAATTTGGTAAAGATTTCCGGTGCAACGATTCCGAATGATCTGCGGATCACCCACAACGTTCTGAAACCATTGCCAGAGATAGGGGTTCTAACAATACGAAGACGAAATGGGTAGGGTAACACAGTAGGAAACGACGATGACCTCCCATGCTAAGCTAGAAAACGTTGAAAGACAATCTGAATGTTAACCCAACCGGACCATACTCGACTCTCTCTGTCGCTGCCTAGACCACCAATTACTGAAAGTGGTTCAAAGTCCGCAGCTATAACCGCCGTCTGCGATCTGCAAGTAAACCAGAGTCGAACCGGCTACGAGTAGTTTGAACACTGCCTCAGCCCTGGACCAATCGATAACCCTTGCGACCTAGTTGCGGAATCGACGTTTGATCTCTGCTCCTCGCGTGAACTCGGTAATGGTACTTTTTACCCACTTACCCCTTTGTGTTGTTACCTGAACAGACATAAGTATACACCTTTTCTCAGACAATTTCACCCGTACCGCTTAAGAATATTTCCATAAGGAAATTATGCTCCCCCATGCGTCGCTCAATTTGGTCTTTAAAGCTATCAAATTGCACGCAATAGGCACGAACCCCACTGTATGTTGTGTGATCAATTCAAGATCAGCCGGTAGCATCCCACTCTGTGTACTCATCTGTTGTACTATCGGCCGTTTTGGCATTGGCCACTACATGAACAGTGCACAGCTTATGCGTTCATTCAATTTGGTATCGTTAAGCACCATCTTGAGAGACCTGTGGAGGAACATCATTACTTTAAGGAGGAATTTTAATGCGCTATGGATGCAATTATCTAAGCAAAAGTATAGTAACTGGGTCACTAGCTGCTCAGTAGATCGTCCTGTCTCATTTCGTTCACGATCACATGATAATCAGTTTGAGGGTGTAATACTAACAATTCCGAATAACCGTAATGCCAAAGGTTACCCTTTCGTTCTAACCTCGTTC